GCGCTCGCGTTGGCTTCGAAGGGAGACGGGTCGGCGTAGCTAGGCCACGCACTAGGACACCGTACTGCCCTTCGGCCGTGAGTACGCAGCGGGGCAACAAAAGGTGAGCGTTCGCATCGGGCGCGAGGCGCCGTCAGCGAAGTCCGACGGGCCCCGAGCGACGGGACTCGACGGACGGAAAAGAATGCGTGGCTCACCGTTTGAAGTCCCGGACTGTACTCCCCGCTCCCGACGCAGCGCGCGAAAATCCTCTCGGGGGTCCCCGCGCGCGGCGCCACAGTCAACATCCGCTACCGGGTAAGGGAGTTAAACGTCACTCCGCCCTTCCCAGCGCGGCAGACAGCAAAGGAGGGCAGACATGTCGGGACATGAGAATGGTAGAAAGGCGGGAAAGCCCGCGCAAAGGCAGCGGGCCAGCCTCAATTCCCACATCCCCCTCTCCTAAACTTGTCCTTTACCGGTCTGCAAAAGGCAGCTGGACGTCACCCATGCAGTTAAAATGACACTGCTATGAGCGGTAGCTAACCTCAGTCCAGCCCTGCTACTGCTGCTTAAAAGAAATATGATTACAAAGGAGAAACAAAACATAAATAACAAAATAAACACACGACACTATACAAATACTGCAGAAGGGAGCACAGAAACGTGGCACTAGTGTTCGTGGTGCTGAAGGGGGATAGCGTCCACTGCGCGGAGGGGCGGAAAGGCGTGACAGTGTCCGCTGGGTGCGATGCCCGAGTGCGAGGTCAGAGGTACCGGAAGGGGGGCTCACTGATGGCTTGTTCCTGCTCTTGATAAGCCGCGAGTCCGACGAAAGCCGCTTCGGATGTTTGGAGGCCCCGCATTTCTGGCTCGATGACGAAGCTGGACGTTGCGGGAAGCCGGGCCTCTCCGGTGGTCAGGGAGGCCGAACCAAAATTGGCTGCGAGGCGCCCTGGCGTTGGCCGGCAGCATATAGCTGCTTTCAGCTGGCCTCGCGCAGGAGCCATGGTGGAAAAGGCAGCACGGCTTCTTCGGCGACGGCCAAGAGCAGAGCACAGCCAGACGGTCTGACGTCAGTGGGTCAATGACCCCCCAGTACCTCCAGCGTCCGCATCGACGGGGGGAAGCTATGACGCACTCCTCGCGGGCCCGCATCGAAGCGTCACGCACCCACACACGCACAGAAGCACGCACACACACCGCCGACAGCTGCGCGAGCGTAGGCGCAAAGAGTCCATCGTCTCTCTCTCCCGGAAAGCACCGACACACAAGGTCACACACAGCTCCCTTCGCGGTAGACGAAACGAACACGAAAAAAACTAAACAGCGCAAGAACGACACTCAACATCTGGCAAAAACATAAAACACAAATAACACTTAATATTAGACAAAAACATAAAATACACATGAACACAAAAAAAAAGAAACACTGGCAGCAGACAGGGCGGGGTCAACTCCTTTACGAGAAAAGGCCGTAAAGAAGCTAACGTATACTGAGGCTAGACAGTAAACTGAGGGCCTTCGGTTGCGGAGAAGTCCGCCGTCCGGCGTGAAATCACAAAGGTGACCGCTTCCTCAGATTATACCGGCGCGGGGTCCGAATGCGGTCCGTCGCTCCGGGTGTGCCCGTTGCTTGCGCGAAGTGCCGCAGGGCACTGGCGCGAGCTCGTCAGACCGTGACAAAGGGCTTCAGGTCTGCGATGTGGGCACGGCTGAGTTTTCCCAAAGGGGATTTTTCAGCTAGTACGCGCCACGGACGCTCACTGACAATCGGTTCATAAGACCGGGCGGCTTTCCAACCCTTGGCTTAACCGTTTGTCAGACGTGGCAGGCACGGAATAGCGATAAAAGCCACGCTTCGTGCCGGGCCAGGTCACAACATTGCTCAGTTTGCAAAAACTTTCGAGCCACTCAGGTGACCGGCCATGGATTCGTCGTGAGAGGATCGCAACAGTGCGGCTCTCAGACTTTTGGGCATAACCACCTTAAACGGGTCTATGGACTCGTCGTCAGTGGCTATATATTTCAGCAGGAGCCCGTCATGGTCCAGCAAAATGAATCCGCCGGGGACTCAGCGACACACGCTGTTTCAGCCCCCTAATCGCGCCCGCCGCAGAACAAGCAGCGTAACGGCGCTCCGCGCCTCGTTAAGACGGTTTAACGGCGCCCGCCGCAAAGCAAGCAGCGTATACGGCGCTCCGTCCCTCCGAGACTCGAAACGGATCACTCTGCTGAGCCTTCAGTAGCTCTTCGCTGCCGAAAGCAATTCCCATTCTCCTAAATGGGGGAGTCTGGTATCGCGCCCACTCAGGACCGCAGCAACCGCCGCGTGAGTCGGCGTTACGGGTTCGCTCTCGGCCTCGTGGCCTTCGGAAAGCTCCCCCGCTCGGCCGTTTCGTGGTGCGCCGCTTACCTGGTTAGCAGCCAAGGTTTGTCCGCATGGGGACTCGCCCTTCTCGCCGAATGGCGGCGAAGCTGCTGTTTCGCCCCCGACGCTTGCATGTGCTAAGGCACCGCGAGCGGCCGTCGCACCGAAATCCAGGTTCTCGGCAGACAACAAGGGGCACGAGATAGCGCGTCAGCTACCACGTAGGAGTGTATTCACCACAAAAAGGGGTGACGACACAGGCGAGCGCCGAAGGGCGCCCGTCGATCGAGGCGGTGGCCTCTTGGTGCAACGCGGCATGCCACGAAGCAGACATAACGTTCGGGTAGGGCAAGAGGCCCATTCCGAAGCGATGCGCCATCTCCAAAGGGAGCGGCTAGGCGCCTCGTGTCGTCACCACAATAGGGGGTGCCGACACAGACGGGTGCAGAAGGGTTCCCGTCAATAGAGGCAATGGCCTCCGTGTGCAACGCGGCATCCGCTAAAAGGGACAGCGGACAAAAGTCCCGTGAAGCAGCCATGTTGCGACGAGCCCGAATCGCGCAGGCGAACTGACTCGCTAAGAGCAATCAAAAGCTAGAGCTTTTGATACCGCGTTGGGCGCCAGTGTGGTGTACACGTATCCCGAAGGAGTACGGCCACCAGCGTGGGTCCGGTCTTAGCGAGCCGCAGGGCACGCGTTAACCGTCGCCTTGGCGGGAAACACGATACTGCTCAAGTCGCAACACTTTATTGTGGCAACACCAAACGCAGTACAGCCCGTTGCAAAAAGGCGCGGCGGGAAAGCAAGTAGGCTTATCCACGCCACGGGCACAAAGTACTACACAGGGGTGCCACGAGCACGTCTCCGCGGTAAAGCTGATCCACGGAGACACCGGAGCAAAGGCCCGGTTGCTCGAGCGAGAGCAAAGGCGCTCGCGTTGGCTTCGGAGGGAGACGGGTCGGCGTAGCGAGGCCACGCACTAGGACACCGTACTGCCCTTCGGCCGTGAGCACGCAGCGGGGCAACAAAAGGTGAGCGTTCGCAGCGGGCGCGAAGGCGCCGTCAGCGAAGTCCGACGGGCCCCGAGCGACGGGACTCGACGGACGGAAAAGAATGCGTGGCTCACCGTTTGAAGTCCCGGACTGTACTCCCCGCTCCCGACGCAGCGCGCGAAAAACCTCTCGGAGGTCCCCGCGCGCGGCGCCACAGTCAACATCCGCTACCGGGTAAGGGAGTTAAACGTCACTCCGCCCTTCCCAGCGCGGCAGACAGCAAAGGAGGGCAGACATGTCGGGACATGAGAATGGTAGAAAGGCGGGAAAGCCCGCGCAAAGGCAGCGGGCCAGCCTCAATTCCCACACTCTGGACGTCTCCTTCCTTTCGGCTCCTGCTACCTCAGCAAGCCCTTTATCCACACAATTTTTGTCTCGCCTCGAGCACTGCCGTCATCTGGCCCGAATTAACACCGGCATCTCTCAGGAAGCTTGCAAGTCTCGCTACGACTCAACACACCGTGCTGTCACCTTTTCCCCAGGAGACGAAGTTCTTCTGTGGCCTCCCGTGCGTGCGCCCGGCTTATGTGAAAAATTCCTCAGTCGTTTTATAGGGCCTTATACGGTGATTGAACAAACGTGCCCCGTTAATTACCATATCTCCCCACTTAACGCTCCCTCCGACCACCATTGCCGTGGGACAGAAATTGTGCACGTTTCTCGGCTGAAACTGTACACCCGACGCAATTCCTAATATTGTCTGTCACGCGGCCAAAAGGCCGCTTCCAGCGTGATAGGGAATTAGTGTGAGGGCAGTCACCGACTCTTCTTTATCCATTGGACGTGTCATCATCATTTGTATAATTTCCTCATCTGTAGATATCATCATCGGTGTGTGCCAGCTTGAGCTCGCCTCGAATAAAGCTCTTCCTCATAATATATTTATATATTCTCTGCATTCTCTGATGAAGGACGTGCCACGGCCGAAACGTGAATATATAAAGGAACTGCTTGCTTTCTCGTTTGTGTACCAGCTTCTTTTCTTATACATGCGTACCAGACCCACTGAAGTTTCAGAATATATATTTATATACTTTATTTCCAGAAGTTCGCATACTGAAAAATAGGAGCACAATTTATCAAAAAATAATTATGAGCATGCAGTGGTGACGACGTCATGAAGAAGGTGATTCTAGCTTTTGCAATCTGTATTAAAAATAACATAGAAAAAGTGGTCATTCTTATGCATGGCCACACGACTTGAAGTGGATGACAAGTGCATTTCTATGGGGATATTGCCAGGAAGAAAACCGATTTGTCGTAAAATGTGGGTTGTTGCGAAACTAGGGGAGGAGTTATAATCGAAGTTCCACTGCAGCAGTAAGAAGACTGCTGTTTGTGCCTTCTTTTCATGCCATCTTCAGACTCGTATTTCAAAAGGAATGTCCGGCTTGAGCTTCCTAAACAGCACTCAGTTGCTAGTTCAGAACGAGATGATGCCTACCAAGTGTAAAGCTACAAGTCCTTCTAGCCAGCTCCCGTTTAATGTTGCTGCGACAAATGAGCGACATCTACTATGGACAGTGACAACCCAATCGTGATGATCCAGTCCTCTGAATGACTCACCATTTGCAACCAGCATGCACAGACAGCTTACCGGCCATGGGCAAGTAGCCATGGAAGAGGACATTGCCGCACTGATGACTGGTGCAAGTCTTCACACAGGATCAACCGCTTCACTGCACCATAGAAACATTGCAAGAGCTCAGTAGGAAAGAGCAGCTTTGCTTCACAGCTGCTCACCATATCTGAAACCACCTGATAATCACACATTTAGATGCAACCATATCTTTCAATGCTTTACAGTTGCAGTCACGTGTAATGACACACAGTCAAGTCAGAAGAGGAGTTCAGTTATTAACCTTGCGCTTTTGAGGCATATTGTACAAAAGAAAAGATACACGAAACACCAAGGCCTTCCATAACAGGCACAGCCCACCTACCTTTTCGAGGCACAGGTTAAGTCGACAGCGAGCGTTATTTGGTTCTTGTACTTCAATAAACAAATGCCTACCTGAACGTCGTTAGAATGAGAGAGGAATCAAAAAGAAAGAATGGCATGAACAAGCACACATGTTTTGTCCTCTCTTGCATGACTTGCAGCTCTAAGCTCCAGTCTTCGTTTGACTGTGCGGAAGTTTTGCAGTGCTCCTCGGGGGCTGTGAAAATTTTTCCCTTGTTCAGGGCTATTCCTTCAATGAATAATCGCATGAACAGATAATATGGTACATTATGCAAATTTATGCATGCTTGCCAAATAAAAGCAGGTGTACACAAACCCAGCAGAAAGGATTTGAAATGACGAATTCATTCCTTAGTGACTACTATGATTTACTCACCAAGAGGAGTGATGCCATAGAATTCTGCCTCATGTCTCAACACGCTCATGTCCAGGTCCCTGCAAGGCAGAGGTTGTTGGCATCCAAACACCTAGCCTGATGTTCGAAAACACACCTGGCAAGCAATTTTTCAGCAATGACAAAAAAGGGTATAATTATGGAATTTGTACACAAATACAATTGAATACAATGTCGCTGACAAGTAGAGCAGAGAAGCACCCCTTCAGTGCGACGTAAGGAAGATAGCCCTAGTGCTACTTTAAGGGAGACCTCAGTAAGGGAAGTTTTGCAAGGAGGATTCCAGATAAGGTGTCCTGAAAGCGTTCACGCAGACATAAAAAGCATTTAAGAATCCAGGCCTTTGAAGCAGGTAAAATTGAACTTTGTACCACTAGTTCACCTTCTTTTTAGCATTCTTAAAAAGATTTCAGTTGTGCAAATAAAGACCTCCTGCGTTTCTTTCTTCATCTGCATTGTTTGAACTGCTTTCGCCACAAGGAAAACTACTTTACATGCATACACTACCAGAAAAAAATAGAGTAAGAAGTGCATCATTTTGTCTCAATACCACAAGCATCATCTGGCTTGCTTGCGTTTCCATTCTTGAAAAATCGGTGCTGGTCACTTTCCTATCAAAAATGCTATATCACAATGTACAGCAATAATGCAAGGAAAGGCACATAAGACAGATAATTGGTATTCAGACAAAAGAGACACCCTTTTCTTGCCAAGTGCTCCAATGACTGCTCAAAATTAGTGTTAATTTAAGTATGGTTTGCAAGCAAATACAAGAACACCACGTCGGTGTAAATCATAGAATTTTTGGAAAAATGCAGCTGGGTGTAGCACTTATTCATGCAGCTAGCATCACATCAGTGCACCAAATGACACACCTCAGATCAATGTCTTTAGTTCGCATGAAGTTCAGGATGACCGAGAACAACTTGGGGTCCCGATCAATGAAAATCTGCAGCATAAAAAAGAACTTTGTAATACACAGATTGGGCTACATAGGTCACCAAATTGTTCAGCTCAACTCAGCCGATTCCATCTCGAAAGAACGGTCACTATATATGAACCGTCAAATGTCATGCACAGGACCTTTCTCAGTTTCAACCAATCAATCAATCAATCATTTATTTGCACAAAATTGTTAGTTACAATTGGGGATTATACAGATACACATGGAGGTCCCAAAGTCAACAGACTGTACAGGGAACCTCCCATAAGGAATGAGGAACAGAAGTATGTACAACGCAGCTATATATGAACACAAACTAAATACTGTACATGGCATGATTATGAGTTCCACAGTTCTGTGGCTGAGAAGTTAGTGAAGTTGCCATAATTAGTTCTAGGTCTCAATAATAAATAGCTATTGCTGGAAACGAAACGGGTTGACAATGAGTGAAGATTCTGGCTTTTGGCGACTATAGAGAAGGAAGCTTTCCGTTGATAAATTTGTGCATCAGAATTGCGAGTAAGTATTTGTGAAGTTTCACCACCGACAAAATGCCGTAAGCAATGATCAATAAAGATGCTTCAGATGTGTAGCTGCTATGTGTCATGACACGAATAAGCTTAATTTTGAGTGTGCTGCAAGGGCGATAAATGGACCGGATAGGTGTTTCCCCATAATGATATGCAATAATTAATATGCATATGAATAAAAGTGTAGTAAAGAGAGATTAGTATTTGTATATTAAAGAAATTGCAAACTTTAATTAATATTCTAATGTCATAAGCTGCCTTTTTCGTTAACGTGAGAACATGCTCATCAAATTATAGGTGTTTATCTAATGTGACACCAAGAAACACGGCATTATCAATAGGATAGAGTGTGCTGGAAGCAAATGTTAAAGACTGAGATCCTAAAAAATGAATTTGCCTAGAGGAAAAAATGACGAACTTGGATTTCGTAGCATTAATGTATACAGTCGCCGACCGATTTTTCGGACCTGGCGGGGACCGAAAAAAAGTACTAAAAATCGAACAGTCCGAAAAATTCGTTTTCGCCAAAAATCTGAAGTTTATTGCATCAGGCAGGTTTAAAAAAGTCCTTGATGCTGCCTTGCCTCAAACTACGCTTGGAGGCAATTTGGTTTGCCCGTATTTGCGCCAAGGTGACATCGTCGCCGTAAACACCAGGTAACTATGTTATCTGCGTCATGGTTAAGTCTACACAATAATGAATCAATGTTGTTATCTTAGCAGAAAATAGTAGTGTCGTCAGCATAAAGAATACAGTCAAATGATTTTAGGTGTTTTGAAAGGTCATTATTATAATTTAAGAATAAGAGCGAACCTAATATTGATCCCTGCAGTACCCCGATGTTACTCGTTTTAGCATGCGAGTAAGTATCAGATATTGATAGAATATACTCTCTGTTTTTCAAATAGTTTTCTAGTAATTTGAGTGCCGGGCCTGTTATACCAATGGAATCTAATTTAGCAAAAGGTATGTTGTGAACAAGTGAATCAAATGCTTTGGATAAATCAATAAATTATGCCCCAACAAAGTTTCCTAGGATGCGAAATTTGGATAAATGGAAAGTCAAGCGAGTCACGATTAGTTTTTCGACAACTTTACAGAAGAATGAAATTATAGCTATAGGACGACAGTTAGATCTGTGACATTTATCCCTCTTCTTGAAAACGGGAATTATTTTGGTCTTCTTTAGTGAAGTTGGAAAAATTCCCGTGGTAAAAATAAGGTTTACTATGTGACAAAATGTTTCTAATATTAAACCTGTTATTGCTTTTATGACAGATGGGCTGAAACAATCAACACCAGGCTCCGTATTTTTAAACTATATATGAGAGGTGCTATTTCTTAAGGTGTGGCAGGGTGTGGGAAAAATCAATGAGGCATATAGGGGTAGAACTTCAAAATTGGATCATCATGGCCTTGGTTGTCAGTACAAAATTTATTTTTATTTATTTACACAATACTGCAGGCCTAGGGCGGCCCAAGCAGGAGTGGTTTGTTTGTATATCAATGATGAAAACCAGTTTAAACAAAAAAAAGAAATACAAATTGAGAGCAAGAAGAAATAAGCAATGAACAATCGAAGAAAACACTAGAGAACAAGAGAGGACTAATCAGTGCATATTTCAGACATATGGCACATAAGAAGGTAAAAACCAAAACAGAAAAAAAGAAAAAAAAAAACGAAGCAAGGCAGCAATGATCATAACAGTAGCGTAGCACAGATTTTACACAACTAGATATGGGAAACCAATCACAAGATAAAGGCACCGTTACAAATTTATTCTGCGGTTAATGAAGCGGTTGCGGTTAAAGAAGTTAATAAAACAGTTTGCAATATCTATGGGATCATCGAGAAGATCTCCTGACTTTATCAGTGATATTTCAGCATTCTGATTAGATCTACCCAATACTTTCCACTGTTTTTTTTACGTCATTTCAAGCACACTTGATTTCCTTTTCCGAAGTGCTTGCCGAATGTGTGCACATTCGGCAAGCACTCTCAAATTATGACAGGTAGATTGCCACTATCCCTCAAGAGGAAGGTATATAACATCTGTATCTTGCCAGTACTTGGCTACGGAGCAGAAACCTGGAGACTTACAAAAAGAGTTCAGCTTAAATTGAGGACGACGCAGCGAGCAATGGAAAGAAAAATGGTAGGTGTAACCTTAAGAGACAAGAAGAGAGCAGAGTGGATTAGGGAACAAACGGGGGTTAAGGATATCATAGCTGAAATCAAGAAGAAGAAATGGACATGGGCAGGGCATGTAGCACGTAGACAGGATAACCGCTGGTCATTAAGGGTAACTGACTGGATTCCCAGAGAAGGGAAGCGGGTTAGGGGGAGACAGAAGGTTAGGTGGGCAGATGAGATTAAGAAGTTTGTGGGTATAAATTGGAAGCAGCAAGCACAAGGACCGGGTTAACTGGCGGAACATGGGAGAGGCCTTTGTCCTGCAGTGGACGTAGTCAGGCTGATGATGATGATGATGATGATGATGATGATGATTTCCTTTTCATAGTACTGTTTCCTAGGATGCTCGACCTCTGAAGCAGCCTGTTTGAGCAGTTTTCCTAATATGTTTCATTTCATTTCATTTCATTTTATTACCTTAAAGGTCCCCAGGGGGACATTACATAAGGGGTGGGGTTACAAAAAACGCACAAAAAAAGCCATGAATTAGTTTGAAAAATGGCTTGTGACGCTATGCATAAATGTTGATGGACAGGTGATTGCTGCAATATGGTGGGGGAGGTCATTCCAGTCTTTTGTTAGAATACTTTTTATATCTATTATGAAGTGTGATATTTAAGAGCTGTTTTTTGTTTTGCTATAAAGGTTATCCTTTTTCCGCAGGCAGTTATGTGGTACTTGAAGCCATTCCATAGTGGGCAGCGCACAAGAGAAGGAACAGGTTTGCCTTCATTTTGTGCACTTCCCACTATTTCGCTTCTACTACAGTTCAAAGCCATTGTTTCTCACAGTTTCAATGAGTAGCACCCAGGAGCTTACCAACCACAGAGCCAATACAAATTTGTATTTTGCAGGTGCTGCTATTGCTTCATCACTGTCAGGCTTGATGAAATGCCTCCAAGCAGACGCTTCCTTTATTCAAATAACAATTCCTGCCCTCAGCAGTTCACAAAGGGCTCCCACAGATGCACATAGTGGCTAACACTCATTCAGCCTGCTCAGAAAGCAGAAGTGGGAGCAGCCTGGAGCAGCAAAACTCGACTTCTGAAGCAGGTTTAGAGCAACAAAACACTAGAGATGTCTGAACAAAGCAAATTTGAGTGAATGACTGATTTGCTCAAATAATATTGAATCAAATGGGTGTATTTGTCAAAATGCAACTAACCTGCACAATATTTTTTATGCTAGAGAAAGGCATGTGTCATTTATTGTCCCTGGTTTAAAGTGAAGAGGAAGCAACTTTGAATAGTCACAGCATTTCAGTAGGATGCAATGAGTGACTAGTAAAACATGTTATGTTTGAAAATTTACTGTACTTTGAGCATACAAACCGTATAAACACCTTTTAACCCTCTCAGGATCAATGATTTACATGCACGTCATCTGCTAAGACCCTCAAGATGGTGTAAGATGCACATGTACATTATTGCTTGTATGTTGCAAAAATGCGCCTTTTTCAATCATTGTTCTTGCTTGACATGTGCTGCCAGATTGCGGGAATAAGTAGAATTTTTTTTACACCAATGTCTCTCTCTCACCCTTCTTTTTTTTAATACTTTACTACAGAGGGGCCAGATAGTTTCAGTTTTGTCTTTCGGCCAGGTCATGCTCGTTGCAACCACAAAACTAATGGCTTTCTTGTCTGAACTTTTCAAAAAGTCACCAATCTAATGCTCTCTCATTTACTGCTCCCTGGCAGATGATTACGCCTGTTTCCGAGCAAGCACTGATTGCCACACATTATGCCATTTCGGTTGCAAGTCCTTCGGCAGGAACACCTTCCATCTTGCTGGCAAATGAAGAGTGATTATTCTATATTTCAGATTTGTTTTTGCTTTCCGGAAGTGCTCACATCTACACAGCTTTCTTAAGTGCCACGCAGTTTGCTTGCACTCTGTATGTGCCCTTCGGTTTCTCTGCTGAAAACCAGTCTAGTGACCATTTCTACGAATCATTCCTCGGATGACGAGTCGGAGTCTGATTAAATAAATGTCAGCCCATCACACGAGGAGTTCTTTACGAGATAATACTCAGATGATTATCAAGTGTCATCTCAAAAACATGTGCGACCAGATAATGCTTATCCGATCAGAAGTGACTTTTCTCCCTCCATGTTTCCACTAAACATCTCTTTGATTTGATTGATTTGTGAGGTTTAACTTCCCAAAATCACAATATGATTATGAGAGACGCCGTAATGAAGGGCTCCGGAAATTTCGACCACCTGGGGTTCTTTAATGTGCACCCAAATCTGAGCACACGGGCCTACATTTCCGCCTCC